TGGCTCCAAAGCCTAACTACGGCCTGGGGTGGGCCTAACTCATTTAGGCCTGTTTGGGTCTGGGTCTGAGCCCAGCCCGAAACCCTGGACCAGGGTCTGGACCAATATTTTGAAGCCTGACCCAACTCATCAGCCCGCTTAGGGCCCGCCCAAGACCCAGTGTCTTTTTTTTTTTCCCTAATAGAAAATAATAAAATTTTGGTAGAAAAAATTAAAAAAAAAAAAATTGTTCAGGCCCCCCTCAAGCCCAAGCCTAGGCTTACTGGCTTGGCCCGAGGCCCAGCTCATCGGCCCATCCAAGGCCCGAATACCCCTAGGCCTGTGTGATACCCCTGTTCCGTAATATGCTAAATTGGTCTTTAATTTGAATATGATTATGTGTTTAGCATGATTTTATGTGCCATTATGTGAATATATGTGATTTTGCAATTCTATCTGTTCACCGTAGAAATATCTGTTTGAATAATCTGCTTTGGAAATTAAATTGAGGGCCTTATCGACTACAAAACCCGAAATTGATTACGCCTTTGTGATTAGCATAATTTTTAGAGCTTACGGTAAAATTTAATTGAAAAATTGATTCGAGCCATCCCAAACATACAAGTTTTTTTTACTTACCTTTTTAGCCAAATAGCCAAAAAGTTACTAAATTAGCCTGTTCCCAAACGAGGCCTTAGTGCCCAAATATTTTATATTGAAATATTATGTTAGTGGGCCTTGTTGTATGATAGCATTACACTCCCCTCTAGCCCTTATGAACTCAAAATCTGAGTTAGACTATTGAGAGGAAGAGAGAGCCGGCTGCAGAGAGGAGGAGAGAAGAGAATTGAGCAAACTTAGCTCAAAGCTTGGGAGCCTTGAAGATTATTCAAGTTTTGACCATAGATTGGGAGAATCAAGCCTCTAGGTAAGTGAATTCATGGATATTAAGTTGTAATTTTGTGAATTCAATTTGAAATAATGGTCAAGAACATGATTTAGTTTGATTATGAGGAAATTGAAGTGGTTTGGTTGAATTGAAGGCCATTATGTGCATGCATGTAAGAAAGTACCTTGAATTTGCATGTTTTGTATAATCCATGTATAATTTTAATTGAAGCTCATGTATAATCATCATTTGTGCCATCTAAGTTGAGGATGTGGCTAATTCATCACATGCATGTACAATCTGAGAAGACATGAGCTTGAATGCATGAGTTTGTTATGTTGATGTTGAGTTTGACATGTTGCGAGACATGCATGTAGATAAATCAAGAAATTGAGCTCCATAATGTTATAATCTTGCATTGGTACCATGTTAGTATGATTATATTTGAGATTTGAGCCATTGCATGCAAGTATTGAGGCTGAGATTTCGAATTGGAGCTCAAGAACTCAATCTGGAATTTCCAGATTTTGATGTCTGCTCGAGCGGGGGCGGGGGAGGGGGAACTGCCGCTTGAGCGGGAAATACGTGCTCCCAGTATGTTTTCTGCAGCCCTTGATGTCCGCTCGAGCAGGTGCTCGAGCGAGGAGCTACGTAGGATGGACTTCCGCTCGAGCATCTTAGGTAACGCTAGAGCGTAAAAATGAGACATCCAGAACTTTTTGCAGGCATGGCTTCCGCTCGAGCGGGTAAGTTCGCGCTCGAGCAGGGAGCCATGTAAAGAGGCCTTCCGCTCGAGCGCCATATTTAACGCTCGAGCATAAATTTCCTATATCCAGTACTTTTGCAGGCCCCAGGGGTTCGTTCGAGCGGGGAAGTCCATGCTCGAGCAGGGACCCTGTTTTTGCATTCTGAGTTCTGTTTTCCGTTCTATTTCACTTGTAAGCACTCTTAGGCATATGTTAAGCATTGTAAATGAATTAATGAGATATGAATAAAGCCTAATGAGGAACATGTGAAGCAAAGAACGGATTGAACAGTTAGTGACCCTTTTGTGTTCATGAAATGTGTAGGGTCGAGCTCTAGGGCAAATCCATAAGTCGATCACTGTGAGTAATATCAATATTTGAAAGCTTGTGAATGTCCAATTGTTATTCCCTTATAAGCCTTATGAATTTGCTAATTGGGATCGTGAACAAAAGTCTGATATGTATAAATGAATGGGCCGAAGGCCGTTTTGACAAGAATGAATGAGCCGAAGGCCGTTTTGATATAAATGAATGGGCCGAAGGTCGTTTTAACACAAATGAATGAGCCGAAGGCCGTTTTGATATAAATGAATGGGCCGAAGGCCGTTTTGACAAGAATGAATGGGCTGAAGGCCGTTTTGATATAAATGAATGGGCCGAAGGTCGTTTTGACACAAATAAATGAGCCGAAGGCCGTTTTGATATAAATGAATGGGCCGAAGGCCGTTTTGACAAGAATGAATGGGCCGAAGGCCGTTTTGATATAAATGTACATATGTTAAGTAGGAATATGAATTGGGCCCAAGGCCGTTTGGAGTATGTTGTTCTACATATTGTTTATATGACTTCTGTATTTGATATTATTCACTAGGCTATCGCTCACGCTCATTCATGTGTTTGTAGGTGAGCCGAGGGAAGTCCAAACCCAGCCCCAGTGAAATCTGCTAGGAAAAATACGAGTTTTGAAGAAGTCAGCCTTGCGTCTCACTCTTGAGACCTATCCTCGCCTTTTTGTTATGTAATTATATTTTGTCTTGCCGGCAAGGACTTTATGTATATTTGTAAATAGTCTGTCATGGGTTGACTTAATTAGATGATTTTGTCTGTAAAGAATTTTATGGTACTGTACTTTTGACATGGGTTATTAACGTATATGGGTTTGGTTTGTTTTGAAGTGCATATAAGTACGGCTCTATGGACAAAGTTTTTGATTACTGCTTCCGTTTGGCCCCTCTACTCCGTTGACTTATGTCTATTTTGGTTTGAGGCCGCAGGTAATCTCAGGATTACTGGCCGGTTACGTCCTTAACCCATGGGGGCGGGTTCGGGCCGTGACAGCCTGAGCCTAATTTTTTGGCCCGTGAGTTGGCCCATTCCAAATTTTGGCAAGAGTCCGTGAGGCCCGATTGGGCTGGCCCGAGATCGGGTGGGATAGGCCGGCCGGATCGGGCCAAATTTACACCCTTATTAGAATCTATTTAAAGAAAATTAAAAGGAGAATGATATTTGTAGTAAAATGAATTTGCAATTTAATTTGCTTTCTTGTATTCCTAGCTAATTCACAATATATCATTATTGGATCCATGAACAAATTTACTATGTCTTTGTTTGGGAAGAACTAAAATAGCTTAACTTTTTGACTATTTTAACTTAACTTTTTTAGTTTCGTTTGGTTTTTATTTTTGACTTTTTTAACTTTTGAGAGAGAAAAAGTGTGATAATTATGGTTTAAATGTAACATTTTGTCTTATTGATTTATGCAGCTAATTTTGTCTTTTGTACTTTTTTAGCTAAAAAGCTAAGACCAAACATAGCTTATGTCAAGTTTAAATTTACAATAATCACTTCAATATTTTAGAATTTTTTTTTCAAGTACAAAAGATTTTTTGAATTAAAATATCATGTTGTCATTCCTTCACTTGAGAAACGATATGAGATCCTCAATCCTCAATTCTCGTTCACTTGTGTTTAAAACATTCATACCTATTAAAACTAGCGATAACCCGTGCTATGCACGAGCAAGTAACAAAAAATGATAAATAATGTTGAACATGTTAAAAATTAATAATTAAATACTATGATGTTAACTTAGATGGGTATTGAAATAATATATTTAGTGATCTTACTATATTTAATTAAATAAATTTTAGAAGAAAAAAAAGTTCAATTGAAAATTAAAAGTAAGAGTAGATTCTGTAAATATAAGATATAGATAAAAACAAATTAAGTTTAAATTTGAAGATAAACTATATATATATATATATATATAAAAGAAAATTAGATAAATCCTAGAAAAATGAGGTAGAGAGAAATTCAGTAATTGAAAAAAAAAAAGAAGTTGAAATTTAAAATTAAAAAATAGGATAAGACAAACTTGAAAAGAAAAATAAAATCTAATATAACTCTAATAACAAAAGAACTGGAGAGGGTAGTAATTAAAAAATTAGATAAGAGTGAAATGTCACTTATAATTTTTTAAAATTATAAGATTTAAGTGCCACTTATAATTTTTTAAAATTTAAATTTTGTGTAGTTAAAAAATAAGCAATTATGTTATCTTATTATACAAATTTTAACTCTATTTTGTGTCTACCGCCTATAATTTTAATCAAATTTTGTCTTCTAAAGCTACTTAATTGAAATAAGAAAGAATAAAAAATTATAAGAATATAGAAAGTGAAAATCAGATAAAAAATGAATAAACTTAATTGAAAATTAAAAGCAAGAATCGATCCTGTAAATATAAGATAAAGATTAAAAAAAATCAAATGTAAATTTGAAGATAAATTATACGAATATAGAAAGAGAAACTTAGATAAATTGCAAAAGTAAAAGAGAGAGAAAAAAATACAATATGAGATTTAAAACATGTGCTTCTTTTCACATAAGATGCCAAATTTTTTTGCATAATTGGTTAAATCACTCGTTTAATTTCTCTACAACGTTATTTTTGTTCTCCAATCTTTTTGCCTAATTTCATATTGTCATAGAAGTTAGGTTTTGAGATTTATAAATTTATTTATTTATTTATTTCAAATATCCTTGGGTAAGACATAAATTGATGAAGAAATTTGAATTGGAGTCAAACTCATCTTTTATCTTTAAATATTTTGAAAATCTTTTATCTTTAAATATTTTGAAATTTTTTTATATCCATGTCATAAGTAATCAAAAATATATAAAAAAAAAAGATAAGAAAAAATAGGAAAATAAGAAAATAGAATGAGAGAAGAATGAATGTGTCACGTAAGAAAGAGGTTCATGAGATGTTAGGATTGAGAGTTTGAAATTTTTTAAGAGGCCACTACATTTGCTTATATATATAGTATAGATATGTTAAGATTATGAGTGATTGTAAATGTTTTGTAATAGAGGACTAGAAAAATTTGAGAACAAAAAATCCTTAGCCGGTAAAACTTTGCTTTTCTTCTCTCTTGGAGTCCACTTTTGTCTCTCATCCTCTCATATTCATTGACCTATATTTCTTCATGCATGAGAAGATCTCTATAAACAAGCAATTGATCAAAGTTTCCTAAAAAATTCAAAGTTTACTTAACAACACCCTAATTGATTTCTCACAAAAAACATGGACAAGGAGAGAGTGCAAGCCATTGCCTCAGCCACCATGGATACTATCCCACCAGAGTTCATCCGGCCGGAGAATGAACAGCCAGGATCGACAACGTTCCATGGCCAGCTGCCAGAGGTCCCGGTCATCGACCTGTCGATCCTGGATGAGGGAAAGCTTGTGGAGTTGATTGACAATGCCAGTTGCAAATGGGGCATGTTCCAAGTGGTGAACCATGGCATACCAGAGGATGTCATAGGCAAGTTGCACATAGCTTATGTCAAGTTTAATGAGCTACCACAGGAAGAGAAAGAGGTGTATGCTAAGCCTCCCGGGGCTAAAAGTGTGGAAGGGTATGGAACAAAGTTGCAAAAGGAAGTGGAAGGCAAGAAGGGATGGGTTGATCATTTGTTTCATAAGATTTGGCCTCCTTCTGCTATTAACTACCAGTTTTGGCCTAAAAATCCACCTCATTATAGGTTTGAAACACATTTTCTTTTTAAATTTGATTACAAATACAAAACCTGATCGTAAAATTAGATACAAAATAGAGTAATACTAGAGATTCCAAATATTCTACCAAAAGTTTTACCAAATGTCTCACATGGGTGTAGGACCCACACAATGTGGGTCCCACACCCATGTGAGACATTTGGTAAAACTTTTGATAGAATTTTTGGAGCCTCTAGCATTTTTGTACAAAATAAACATGAGTTTGTGTTTAATTATATATTGATTTATGTGTAAATAAATTTATTATTAGTCTTTCAACTCCCTTTCTATATTCGTATTCAACATTTTTACTACTGTATATAATATAAATTTTACATTCTTTTTCTCAAAATTTCCATTGGTCTATTATTATTTTTATCAGCTATTTTACATACTACAAAATTAAGTAGATGTTTGGCAACCCCTAAAAAAGTTAAAAAATTAAAAAATAATTGAAAAAATAAAAAAATTAAAAAATTAACACTATTCACATGTCTAGGAGGAAAAAAAAAATTGAATAGACAGAGGGAAAAATTACGAATTTACCCTTTTAAATTCGACAACCAAAAGTGCATATCAGGATTGTCATATGTACCTATCTTTACGCATTTTACAAAATGCATTGACGTGGCTAATTATAAGCCATGAATTCTCAAAGTCAACAAAATTTTAAAATGCAGTGAATATACACAGTATGTGTTAGAAAGGGTACAAGAATAATTTTGATATTTGATATAATATTTTATTACATATTTTTTTGTAAAAAGTTAACAAATTATCTCAAATATACATATTTTTTCTCTCTATTTTTTTTAACTAAAAAGTTAAAAAATACACATATAAATTATCTCAAACAATTAAAAAATTGTCACTAAAATACAAAGGTGAGTGAGGCCCACCTCACTTGAAAAAAAAAGATCTCAAACTTTGGTGACGCTTTCAAGACAACACTTTCGTTGTCAATAGCTTTTCTCTAACTACCAAGTGGCAATATTTAATTTTTTTACACAAAAAAATTATAAAAATAGGTCAATTTTTTTACACAAAAAAGTCATTTAAAAGCCAAAAAATCAAAAAATTAGTTTTTTACCAACTTCTCAAAAACACCACATTGTGTTTTGAGAAGATGGTTAAAAACAATTTTTAAACTTTTTTTTGACTTTCTTATGAGAGAGAAAGTAGGTTAAAAACTGAAAAGTGACTTTTAACCTACTTTTCAAAATAACCCATTTCTTGAAAATGTTGATGTGACGTGCACATAAAATAAAACATAACTATGAAACGTAGAAAAATATTAAAAGAATAAATAAATAAATAATGGAAGGACTAGTCAATGGCTAACGAGACATATGGCTCCGTTTGGCAAGAGTTAAACGGGATTTTTTTGACTATTTTAGTTATAAAAGATAAAATATGTTATTTTAGTCACAAAAAACAAAATATCACATTCAACCCATAATCATTACATTCTTCTCTCACAAAAAAAGTCAAAAAAGCTAAAAAGTCAAAAAGTTCTTTCCAAACCAAACTTTTTAGCCCAGGTTAAAATAGCCAAAAAAACCAAAAAGTCAAAAAGCCAACCCACTTTCCAAACGGAGGCTTAAGATTTAATTATATTTTATTCATTAACAATATTATTTTACTCTCTCAATTTTAAAATCATTAGTTGAAATGTGTTAATTTGTAAAAAAAATGTACAAATACCCTGTATGAGGGGAGTAAAACAATTTTTGTAATTGAAGAGTTCAAATGTACATTTTTCAAGTTAAAGAGGATACAGTGATATTATGTTCAAAATAATATACTATTTTCATAAAAAAAAAATTATTTAAAAGGATTAGACCTTAATATGCTACATCTTATAATGTATATTTTCTATTTGGATACCACTATATATATATATATATGTTGGTTAAATCTAAAAGGAAAATCAAAGCTACCCATAATTTGAATTAAGAAATATACTCAGAAAACAAAGGTGTAGCTAAGATTAGATGGTGTATTGTAGGGTTCACTCATAGATTGAATCTCAACCATACATTGATGATTGTGGGTACAATTCTAAGTATGTAGTATAACTGAATCTAAAAAGAAAATCTAAGGACCCAAAATTTGGATCAAGAAATATACCTAGAAAACGAAAGAGTGGCTGATATTTGATTGTGTATTGTAAAGTCTACTCATAGATTGAATCTCAATCATACATTAATGCTTTTGATAATTCTAAACAATAATTTTGAGTTTATAGTATAACTGAATCTAAAATTCTGTTAGTGTATGGCAGGGAGACTAATGAGGAGTATGCAAAGCATCTGCATGGGGTGGTTGACAAGATGCTTAGGACATTGTCATTAGGGTTAGGGCTTGAAGGGGATGATATGAAGAAAGCAGTGGGTGGAGATGAGTTAGTTTACTTGATGAAGATCAATTATTACCCACCATGCCCTCGTCCTGATCTGGCACTTGGTGTGGTGGCCCACTCTGACATGTCAGCAATAACAATTCTAGTCCCCAATGAAGTCCAAGGCCTCCAAATCTTCCAAGCAGATGGCTACTGGTATGATGTCAAGTATATCCCTAATGCCCTCATCATCCATATTGGTGACCAAGTTGAGGTGTGTATTTTCAATTCTAATAACTCATAAATCGATCAGAGAATACATATGGATGGATAAAAAATTTTAAACTTAGACCTACTAGTAAATTTTAAAAAATTTATCCATTTGTATACTGTATATTTGATTCAAAATAGAACTGTTTAAAATCTCTTACTTTATTATTTCTCATGTTCTATAATATACTCTAAATTGATGATTGTTAATTTGTAAAAAGAATCTAAAAACAATGCTTCTGCCTTAATGATAAACAACTATTTTCAGCATTGATTATTATAGGGTAGCTTTGTTGCATAAAAAGGTCTAGTATAGAATTTAAAAAGAATATATATATATAGGCAATCTATTTAATTGCAACAAACAACACATTTGACTAGGGATGAAGCCAAGAGTTTGTCTTAGAAGGGGCCCATAAACATTGGCTATTAATTTTTTTATATTAGTTAATATGAATTATATTTATTATATAATAAAACATAACATCCATTTAGTCTCAATTAAGTTATAATCTGAAAGTGCAATCAGAAAAGTTATTTTAATAAATATCATGTGATTCATTAATCAAAGTGCACTCTACAACTTTTCGTGAAACTCATCTATGATTGAATTCATCCTAAAACTCTTTGCAAGACAATAATCTTCCATCGTGTTTTCAAATTTAAATTTGAGGACATTCATACCAGAAATTTTAGTTTCAATCTCACTTCTTGCAAAGCGGGGACCATTCTCTAATCAATAATGTTCCGTTGACATAAATGTTAATGCGTAGATCAATTCATTCTAGATGTGGTGGAGACCAGTCCAAAATGAATCTGGACAACTCATTAATGTTGCACATTTTTATTAACCCAAAAAAGAAAATACTTTAAATCTAAATGTGAATTTATAAATGGTTATGGTTTTGATAGATCTTAAGCAATGGCAAGTACAAGGCTGTGCTTCATAGATCAACGGTGAACAAGGAGAAGACCAGAATCTCATGGCCAGTGTTCTTGGAGCCCCCACCAGACTTTGAAGTGGGCCCACATCCTAAGCTTGTTAACAAAGAAAATCCCCCAAATTACAAAACCAAGAAGTTTTGTGATTATGTTTATTGCAAGCTCAACAAAATTCCACAGTAATTGGTTTGGGTCAGAATCTTTTGTCTCAAAATATTTATAATCGTTGAGTTATTACAAATTTTAAAATATAATATTTTTAAAAAATGATTTAATAGATGTAAATATTTTGATACTGAAGACCGGAAAATTTTGAAAATATCAATGTGATGGTTCTCTCTATTGATGTATGCAAGTCATTGGATTTGTCGTCTTGCATAGGTAACAGTAGATGTAGGGATATTTTGTTTGTGTAATTAATTATGAAGTTTCGTTGTAGTCACAAAAAAGTGATATTAAAGCATGTGTACCGCTTGTACAGGTAGCCTTGAATAAGAACTTTTTTTAATAAGTGTTATTCAGAATGATTTAAATAAATTTATTTTTTAATTTTTTATTAAAAGATATATAGAAAAATAGAAAAGTAATGTAACTCAAAAAAGATAAAAGATAAAAAAAGTGTACTTATATAGCATACCTAAAAACATATTTATTATTTAGTGAAAAGAATAAATTATTATTTTACAAAAACTTTTTTTTTCATATTTCTCATTTGATGGAAAAGTCATCAACAGTCGTCAGTAACGATTGATAGTGGTGATAATATGAATAAATAGACAGATTAGGTAAAAGACAAATAATGTAAATCAATAAGGGATGACACGTGGACAAATAAGTGAATAGATTAATGACACATACACGTATAAGTCGACAAATAAATAATATGGACAAAAAGAAAGGTAATATATGATTTTTTAAATTATTTTACCTTTTTAACTCTAAAAGAATAGAACTTGAGCCTATTACCCTAAAATTTTTGAAGTTAGACTTATAACGTAAGTCCTCTTAAATCAATTTGTTGTTAGTCTAGTAAATAGACTTCTATAATTGTTGCACTATAATTTTGTAGATGTAATTCTCTGTATACTTATACAAAACTTTTTATCAATTGAAAGAAAAGAAGTTAGGCATTAGGCAAGGTACAATTAATGCATGAAGCCTCCCCAATTACAGGAGTGATCATCATACTGACGAAACCTCTTAAGCTACCAGAAAGTAGTTATTCTTTTTGAAATATTATGTAGGTATGTATCTGATTAATAGTATTTTATGATTTTTTTCAAATTATTCTTGTTATGTTGGACCACGTAAATATATAACTTTTAATTATTAGACGGACACATTATCACCATAATATTGTAAGAAAGCTAGATAGTTATTATGAAAAATGTCAATTTATTTAATGTATTATGGTTAAATGGAGAAGGATTATATTCTACAAACTAACGAGGTTTATAAAATTTTTCTTATTTACTGATAAATTATTATAGTATTGAATCAGATTTTCTGAACTTGTTTTTTATTGCATCAAACATCAGTAACTAAAAAATATATATAATTTGTTAGTTTATAGAGAAATTTTCAATTAAAAACTGCTAGTTAGTGCCTAATGTGGTTATCACTTTTTGTCAAATTTTGATTATTTGCTTAATAGGACACATTTATAATTGTTGAACATTAATCTTCACCAAAAATAAAATAAAATATATCCATTATAATTTTGTTTTAAGATTTGTAGTATTGAATCAGATTTTCTAAACTTGTTTTTTATTGCATCAAACATCAGTAACTAAAAAATATATATAATTTGTTAGTTTATAAAGAAATTTTCAATTAAAAACTGCTAGTTAGTGCCTAATGTGGTTATCACTTTTTGTCAAATTTTGATTATTTGCTTAATAGGACACATTTATAATTGTTGAACATTAATCTTCACCAAAAATAAAATAAAATATATCCATTATAATTTTGTTTTAAGATTTGGACTGGCCCGATTATGAGGCTGTTTATCATTTACATAGGCATGAAACTCTTTAATTAATTTAACTTTTCTTTTTATTCCCCAAGAGTTGATATTTTTTAGAGGAAATTACAAATCAGTGCATCTTTTAAAAAATAATTATAAATTTATAAAAAAAATTATAATTATAATTTTTAATATTTATAAAGTTGATCATTGAATTGTAATTATTTTTTTGAAACTACCACTGATTTGATATTTTTTTTATTTTTTAAATCAGAACTTTGGTTTAATGGTTGTGTAGCACTAATATGTGGTATCAATTTTTATTTTTTTTGAAGATACATTATTATGTTCATTGCAAGCTCAACAAAATTCCACAGTAATTACATTATTGCTTTTGTTTTGGGTTAGGATTTTCTATCTAAGAATTATCATAATTATTGAATCTTTAAAATTTTTAAAATATAATAATTTTAAGACATGATAATGGAGTAATAATTTTAAATCACCAAAACCAAAATATTTTACCTAGTTTAAATATTTTTCTTAAAATAATAGATTTAAAGTTGAATACATAAATTCTAACTTTAATAATAATAGAAATGAAAATAATGAATAAGTGAAAATTAAAAACTAAGTTAATTGTGACCATATTCGTTACTTAGATTCAAATAATATTAACAATAATAATAAGGATGGAGAAATCGGTATGTAAGGGTCTGTCATATTAAGTGATTAACAATCAATAAAATTGAAATAAATAAATAAATAAACAACTATAATGTTAATAATGCCTTGAAAAGGACAATAAGAATAAACCAGGCACGACCGTACCTTGGGCGGTTGTTTTCAGGCCTCTTCTCACGATTTCAGCGTGGTTAGAGTGTTCATTTCCTTATACAATTTCAGCTTGTTTGGAATTTATCTCAGGACACCTGATATGCGGGCTTGGGTGGGTTTTATCTTAGGTTGCGTTGTAGACGCGCTGGACGGGTTGTTGGACCTCCTCTCACGATTTCAGCGTGATTTGAGTGTCCCGTTCTTTACGCGATTTCAGCGTGTTTGGAATTTATCTCAGGACGCGTGATGCGCGGGCCTGGGCGGGTTTTATCTCAGGTTGCATTGTTTTGCATCCCTACCACATTGTTATGCATTACACTTAGGTTGCATTGTTTTGCATTCCTTTCGCATTGTTATGCGTCACTCTTAGGTTGCATTGTCATGCACCTATTTCCGCATTATTATGCGTCACACTTAGGTTGGTATTATCATGCCTCCATGCTTTGCATGCGTCGTCGCGCACGTTTTACTTGCATCGTTATACACTTTGCCATCGGCACCATACGTATCCGCTTTCGATATAGCGTTGAACATATGTTGCTAACTTATTATACCTATTAAGTTCCTCTCTTTTACAGGCACAATATTGTATGTACGGTTCATTCAAGAGAAGTTTCGGTTCAGTTTGAACGTACCTTTTCTCCTCTCGCATGCGGTGTGTTGGGACATCTTCGGTTTCGAACACTCGGATGAGTTCCGGTGTTCTTTCATACATTTTCTCTTCTCGCATGCGGTGCGTTAGGACATCTTCAGTTTCGAACACTCGGATGAGTTTCGGTGTTCTTTCATACCTTTTCTCCTCTCGCATGCGGTGCGTTAAGACATCTTCGGTTTCGAACACTCGGATGAGTTCCGGTGTTCTTTCATACCTTTTCTCCTCTCGCATGCGGTGTGTTAGGACATCTTCAGTTTTCGAACATTCGGATGAGTTCCGGTGTTCATTCATCCCTTTTCTCCTCTCGTATGCGGTGTATTAGGACATCTTCAGTTTCGAACACTCGGATGAGTTCCGGTGTTCATTTATATCTTTTCTCCTCTAGTATGCGGTGCGTTAGGACATCTTCAGTTTCGAACACTCGGATGAGTTTCGGTGTTCTTTCATACCTTTTCTTCTCTCGCATGTGGTGCGTTAGGACATCTTCGGTTTCGAACACTCGAATGAGTTCCGGTGTTCATTCATACCTTTGTCCTCTCACATGCGATGCGTTAGGACATCTTCGGTTTTGAACACTCGGATGAGTTTCGGTGTTCTTTCATACCTTTTCTCTTCTCGTATGCGGTGCGTTAGGACATCTTCAGTTTTGAACACTCGGATGAGTTCCGGTGTTCTTTCATACCTTTTCTCCTCTCGCATGCGGTGCGTTAGGACATCTTCAGTTTCGAACACTCGGATGAGTTCTGGTGTTCTTTCATACCTTTTCTCCTTTCGCATGTGGTGCATTAGGACGTCTTCGGTTTCGAGCACTCTGATACGTTCCAGTGCCCATTTGTTCACTTTCTCCTTTTGCGTTTGATACGTTGAGAGTTGTTTCATTTGAGACTCTGAGTGTTCTCAGTAGTTGCTTTTAGCCTTCTCCGCATGAGATGCAGTGAGAATTGTATAATTTTCTTACATTCTTTCTACACGAGATGTGGTTTGGCTCGTGTTTACTTGCTTTGCATAACATTCGCTTAAACTGTTGCATTTATTATGTATATTTGTTTCATTACAGCGTGCTTTGCATGATCATAAGTTATGTTCGGCTTTGTGCATACCCCTTTGCATTTTGTGCCTGCCTGCGGGCACATCTCTTTGTTTATCTTGCCTGTTTGTCTAAGTCTTCGGCCTTGTAAAAAATGGGTCGTCTCTGGGTTTTGACATTCACTCCCGTCACTTATGACTTTCGAGTTCTATCAAAGAGGGGTAACTATAGACACCCTATTTTTGACCGACCTTAAGACTCAGATTTCATCGATTGAGCGCTCGGTGATTGCGCATGTTGTGCTTGTTTTGAGGTTTCGGAGTTTCGGCTGAGGTCCTTACCCTCGGACCTCGGAACCCTTTTATGTATTGCCTTGGTTTGCAAATCAGGTCTTGCTCTCTCTTCCCGGATGGAGGGAGAGGTCTTGCAGACCATCTCTCAGTGGCTGTAGGCTACTTTTCGTGGTCGTAGGCCACTATTCCCATTTGGAGACCAGTTTTCGATTTTCGGAGCCGTCAGCCGCGCGCCTCGGTTTGGGACCGCTTAACATTCTCTGTTTGGCACGGTTTTTGGCACACACCTTGTTTCCTCTGTCTAGAGGGACACCGCGGCCCGGGAGACCACCTTTGTGGTCGTACGCCACTTTTGGTGCTTAACGGCCTGTTTTCGGGGCACTTGGCCGCACACTTTGCCCCCCGAACACTTGTTTTGCATCGGTGTTGGTTCATTTTTGGCATGAACCTTGTTTTCATTGTTTGGAAGGTGGTACAAAGGTGGGAGACCACCTTTTCTCTTGGAGACCACTTCTCTCTCCGCCAGCCGATTTTCTTGTCGGGAAACTGGTCTCCTTGATTTTTGAGCCACATTTGCTGGTCTCCCACCATACCAATAGCTTGCATTCAGTTGGGAGACCATCAAATGGGCTGGCCGACCACTTTTCCTTGAGGGAGACCACTCACCTTGGTCGGCC